AGGGAAGGGAGGGAAGGGAAGGGAAGGGAGGGGAGGGGAGGGAAGGGGCCAAGACAGGAGAAAACTTTGGGAGAAACTCCAAATGTATTAGACAAAGAGTTAAAGATGAAGGGCTCTAAACCAGTGGGAGAACGGCAATGGGGATTTTCAAGAAACACTGGGGTAAGAAGAGACGTTGCAAAGTGCTGCCTATTCTACTTCCTCCTCTATTCTACTTCCTCCTCACACTTCCTACCAGTGACTGCAGCCAGACCAGCATCAAGAACTTCATCTAAAAGGCTGGAAGCCAGAGTTCTTCCATGCAGCTCTTTCTAAGGCCAGAGGGATTAGAAAACAAATGGATTGTCATGAAGTGGAGGTGAGTGGAGGCTAGTATGCTCCAGAAAAGCATTCAGAGGCTATGAGGAATATTGTGATGAAGAGCAGATGAGTTTTAATCTAGGAGTTGCCTGTGCAGGTTTCCAGCCAGAAGGATGACAAATGATGCGGAAAACTTAACAAAGAGAAGGATAAGAGAAGACAGCTGATGGAAGAAGAAGACGACTGGTTTAGCAAGAAAGAATCCTGGGTTAATGCAGAAATCCCCCCTGTGGAGAAAGCGCAAGAGGCCAAAATCAGAGGTCTTTGAATTTTGTCCTCAAAGAAGAGGGTATAGATGGGGTCCCAAGAGAGCAGAAAGTTTTGGCATAGGTGTGTGGAGAATGTCTACGAAGATTGTTCCAGCTTTAAATCCTCCAACTACCAAATATTCACGAAGCATCTAGTCAGTCTATGCTCAGTGATATACTGGATATGGCCATCTTAGTTTTCCAAAGTGCTGGCAGTTGCTGCCGATGTGGCAATATCAGCAAATGTTTTAAAATGTGTTCTCTACTCCATCATAGAAGTCACTAATCAAATGAGGAATAGTTTTGGTTTTAGGGCCCTAAGGCACCCAACTTGCTGTCACTTTCCAGTGTGAGATCAAACATATTGATATGTTTGAGCATTTTTTAAGTTAATATTATTTACAGTGTTACTTCATTGTGACCAGTAATTTGTCTGTCTGGCTATGCATCTATTTTCTTAGCTTTCCTTCACACCTGGCATAGAATCCTGCATCTGATGGTTTCTTAATATATTACTATCTTCCTGTAACAGAGATATGAGGTTATGGATGTGCAGTGGTAGAGAATGTACCACACTGACTTGAGACCAAAGAATTTGTGGATTCAAGAATTTGTTGAAGTGTAGCAATAAAAGAAAATTGAGATACAGAGCAGGAATTGAAAAGGACAAAGTGTCAGGATCGGGTAAACTTAGAGAAAATGGTAAAATTAAAAATTTCAAGGGAGGCGGATCCTTTCGCATAAGCATGATGATTGGGTTTTCATGAGCATGCGTGAGACGTGCCGCCCACAACTCTTGTTACTACGTGGGCGCATTACCCGTCTGACATGAAAATAAAAATTAAATTAAAAATAAAAGCATCAAAGGAAGGACTTAGAAGACAACGGACATGTCCACACTGTGCCCGCATTTCCTCACCGTTACCTTTTCAGTGAAGCCTGAGGCTTTTCCTGCCATCTACGGTGTCACTGGCTGGAACACGGGGTGGGCCCTAAGTACCACGAATGATTACAGCACTCCCAGGAGAGTTCTTCAACCAATAGTGAATATAAACTAGCATATAGATATTCCATATTCACTACTCCCAGGTAAGAAAACTGAAAAGCAAGGCATATTCCTCTCCTGGAGGTCACCAGTAGGATGAGCCCAGCTACCCACAGTGTGACCTGCTCCTCCACAGGTAGTAGATCCCTTTTCTTTCTTATTTCTCTCCTCCTTTCCTCTTCCTTACTTGTTTTCCAGATTTACTTTCCCAGAACAACGCTTTATTTTCAAATCTTTGTCTCAGGGTTTTCTCTAATGGAACTGAACCTAACACCGAGAATGAATCCAAATCCTTTCCAGAAGTCAAGAAAAATAAATCGACCAGCATGTACTAGATCTTCTCTGAAAACAACGTCCTGTTAAACCACCATCTACTCAATTCCTGAAATAGAAGCCCTAAAATTTTCCTCGACAATGCCCTCTTCCTTATATCTTCCATTCAAATCATCAAGTTCTATTGATTTATTCTCCCAGTATCTCTCAAATCTGTTTCTCTCCATCTCCGTTTGCATGACGTAGGCCACGCTACCTGTCCCCCCTTCTAGATGCTTGCACGAGGCTTCTGCCTGCTCCTCTGCATCTGTTCTTATCCTCTCCCAGTCCATTCTCCACTCGCCAATTCCAAGCAAACTTCTCAAAGTCTAATTTTTCACATCCTACACTCTGCTTAAAACCTTCCTCTGGTTCTCCATCTGTCTTACATTCCAGCCAATGCTACTTAACTCAGCCTGCAAGATTTCATGTGATCTAGTCTTCCCCTACTCCCCCCATTTTCAGTCTCCTCTGAAACCTGACTTTGTTTTGATTTTAGCTTTGCAGCCGTCTACCCTTCTTACATTCAATTCCTCTAAATTTCTTGCTGCCTTGACCCAAGGGATGTTTGCTTTTTAGAAAAATCCTTCCCTGCCCTCTTACCCTCTCCTGACCCCTTGCTGTCTACCCGTCTCCATCCTTAGGTTCAGAGTCACTCTCTCTGAAAAGTTCCCAAACATCCTGTATGAAGTTAAGTCTCTCTTCTGAGGGGTCCCGGGCTAACTTGATTTCCCTTTTCATCATGGCAATTTTTGCATTTATGTCACTTTATTAAAGTTAGGCTCATTATCCACATGGCATTCCTTTAGATGCCAAGGCCTTCCTCTTTCTTGGACTGCTCTTCTATTCCTTGTCATTTGTTTGCTGTTAGCTGCTGAAAAAATGGAAGAGAAGATAAGACAATGATGCATTCCTGCTATTGTTACGTGTATTACCATAAGAAATAGAAATGTTTTTGCAAGGGAAAGGAACATTGCTTCTGGGGAAACAAAAAAGACGCGTGGGGGCGGGAGATCATGTGTATGTTTCCATGTATAATAGGATTGCTATTGTGGCCTAACCTGATGTCCCTGAGATTACAGAACAGAAACATGTAGTGAGTCAAAAATACTTGCCTCTCTGACGTTCCTCAGTAATGTGGTAATGGGGTAAAAATAAAGCAGATTATCCAGTGCTAGAAAGAGTAAATATAGCAAATGACATGCCTGCAGATGTATAGGGTGTAATAGATATGGTCATTCTTGTATATATCTCTAAAGCATTCTCAAGGGGGTTTGCTTTCCCTCTCTCCCTTTCTTTCCATAGCACAAAATGGTCCTTAAGGTATGCTTTAAGAGTTGGTCTATATTAATAGGAGAACAATGAATTTGGAGGCATTTTTCTGGGAGAGAACCAGAGGACTTGAAGCCATCTCCAGATGCTTCCCTGTATCTGAATGACCTGATAAGATTCCGCATCTCCATAGGCTGGATAGAGGATCACAAGGAACATACATTGTTGGAGAGATGAAACCCTGGTGGTGGGTGGTCCCGAGGGACAAAACTGGGCAGGGGACCAGAAACAAAGTGTGGATGAAGGAATCCACCTAACACCCACCAGAGATGAGACCTGAAGAGACAGATGTGAAATTCAATGACAAAAGTAAAGCTCTTTTTTTAAAAAAATCAATTTCTGGGTTTTATGTGTATTTGTGATCATCTAATAGTGACTTGTTGTAATGGAATTATCCTATGCTTCTCTGTCCTTGGAACTGAAATTTTTTGTTTTTTGAATTAATAAGTGAAATTCAATGTGGCCTTTTCATACAACACAGGAAAGAAGTGTCAAAAGAAAGACTTGAAAGTCTTTGTGAAGTGAGTGGAGGCCTGACGTTGAAATGAGCATCTTGGGAGAAATGGGAAAGATAGTGGATAAAAAAATATTCCTTTGTAAAACTTGGAGGGAACTAACTTAGAGACCTCAAAAAAAATGATAGTGGATAACTGACCTATTTGGCAAGTCCATCAAACATACAATGAAAATGGAAGTAAAAAAAGACAGATGAGTGATGTAACCAACATTAAAGGCGGTGAAGACAAAACCAGATGATAATAAGAGATATAACATAGGAAAAAATACTAACTACGGCCTCAAGACTGCTGTCAATACAGCTTTGGGGTCTACGAGGAGTCAGATTTGAGGAAGAAACTAGTTGCAGTTAAGTGAAGGCAAGTATCTTTACCTTTCCTGGACAATAACTAACGTCGTACAGCTGAGACACACCATCTGCTTTGCTTTGCACAGTTTGCTTAAGAAAAATGGTTGCTGCTCTTTAACATACACTTATTTTCAGGGTACCTACAAATGAGTCTTTAATGAATTGCTTCAGAATGTTTCCAGACACAAAGTCAGGCTAGCTGGTCTCGCCTTGATTTCCAAATTAAAAAAAAAAAAAAAGGAAAATACAGAGAATATTTAAGAAACTCCCTTCTAAAATGGAGAATACACAGCCATAACAAATCTGGAGCTAACCATGAGAGGAAAATTATCTTTCAGGTCTCCAGTAATATAATTCTTGTAAAGAACACCATTGGTGGATCATGATGGAACTGCTCTGCGTCACGTGGTATAGCTCCATCTGCTGTCTTTTAGCAAACATCCAGATGGATTCCATTTCTAGTCTCCAGAAAGATGAGGCCCATCAATATGAAAAGCTGTGTCTCTGATCATCCATCACAATCATCCAAGGAGAATCACAAATTTTTTGGTGTCTGCCCATCTTTCCTGTCAAGAGACCGATGGTTTTATTTTTAACCGTGGAATCTGTCTGTGAATCTATGAGCAATAACGATGCCAATGGTCTGTTTTTCCCTGGATTTGTTTCTTATGGTGGTAGAAAAGCCTGCCTTGAAAATGTCCCTCCTCCATGATTGTGTTAAGCCATTTACACTCTACACTTAGTAATGTTAACCAGTTTGAGGAAAATATTTCAAATGGCATATAAAACCAGCACCTTGCACCCCATGATTGCATTAATGTACATAGCTATGTTATAATAATAATAAGTCCCTCTTATTCTCTTTCAAAACTCTTTCATTCCATTTTGGGAAGGATCATTCATACTTCCAGTCATTATAAGACTTAAAAATTCTTATATTATTATGACTTGATAAGTATCTCGGATTCAGGAGTCAACTAAATGGCATAATTGGAATACCATGCTGAATCAGAAATGAGACCTAAAAAAACAAATTCATGTTTGAAAACGTTTCCCTACATGCTCGTAATCCTCGTTTATGTACTTTCTTGTTCACATGGGATAAAATTGTATGACCAACTCTATAACAAGGCTAGTATCAAAAAAAAGAGCTCCTCTTAAGATTGTAACAACTTACACACATTCACAGACATTTACACCACACCACACTAATACACAACTCTGACCGAAGTCTGAGTTCAGCAGGAGTCTAAAGAAAACAAGTCTTCCTCCCCCATCCTGTTATCAAGCTAAAAGTTTCTGTCAGCATTTTTTTAAATTTGAGATTTATGTTCTTGGACTCATACGGAAGAGAGTGACAGGTGTCTCCCACCTTTTCCCCCACTCCTTCTGCAGTAGTGAAGCTTCCATTTTAGTTGGACATGTGGCCACTTGGAATAAAAATCCTTTTTCTGTCTCTCCCTTGCAGAGAGGTCTGGTCATGTGACTAAGTTTTCAGCAATGGGATATAGGCAGAGGTAGGGTGTGCAGCTTCTGAGAAGTGCACTTTGTCTCTTCTTTCCCCCCCCCCACACCCCCACCCCCACTTCCTCTCTGCAGTCAAGATAACGCAGCTTGGCTGGAACTCCAGCACCATTGTGAGCATAGGATGATTCTGAGAACAGAAGCGGTGCCTGACGGGGCAGCCAGAGAGCAGAAGCTTGGGGCTCTTACACCATGGAGCACCATTTTAGCCCTGGATTCACACCCTGTCAGACTTTTGAAAGTGAAAGCAAAATAAATTTCTATTTTTATAGCCTTCTTATTATTATTTGGGGGGGGTTCTCTATTACTCAAAGTCTATTATATCTTTTTTTAAAATAGATAGTGTACCAATAATAAAAGATGGTTTTATCAGATGCCATTTCCAACTAAGATCCAAATGGTGATACATTTGCAATGGGAGGTTTTCAGAGCACTAACTCTTTCAGTGTTAACCATCAGGCAATCAAGATCCTTTTACAGGAAGAAAAAGCCAAAGCAAATGAAGTTTTATATGTGTTATTTTATGCTTAAAGATTTTTTTCTTTTTCAAGTTACTCCTCAGCATTCCATCTAATGAAACTGAACTTACATAACTCAGCACCCAAAAATCTGACTTCCAACTACAAGCACCTGTGATTTTTTTTTTTTAGATCTGGCAAAAGAATTACTTTTCCTTAAGAGTGGGGCAGGCAAGTTGTGTTGGGAGATTAATCTGCACCTCCTAACTCAGAAGCATTGAACTAACAACTAA